TACAAAAGAAAACTTGGCTATAATCTTACATTTAAAATATAAACAATTTAAGCTAATTAAGAACTTTTGTTGAAAAATTGTTAATAAGATAAAAATTTAGAATCAAAAAGTTACTCAACAAAATGTACTCAAATATTCTTGAAATACTTTAAACTAAAGAATAATTCAAATATCAATTGGGAAATGTTAAATTTCTATAATAATTATATCAAAAAGTTAATTAATATATTTTTTTTAATGACTAATTTAAACCAGTTTAGAAATGTCTGTTAACCTTTGTTAATCTAAATTATCTTTCGACTTATTTGATTTATGAATAAATTACTAAGAAGTAATGAGTTAAAAAATAATTGAAGCTAATTGTTAATCACACTTATTTGTTTCTAAATTTGTATTTTATTAAATCAAAAAGTTACTCAACAAAATGTACTCAAATATACTAGAAATACTTTAAACTAAATGAGAATTAAAGTATAAATTAGGAAATGTTAAGGTTTTAAAATTAATTATTGCAAAAGATTAATTATAATATTTTTTAATATGAATAATTTAAACTAGTTTAGAAATGTCTGTTAATCTTTGTTAATCTAAATTATCTTTCAAGTTATTTGATTTATAGATTAATAAGAAGCAATAAGTTAAAAAATATAAGACAAAGATACAATCTAACATTTAAAATATGAATAATTTAAACTACTTTAAAAATTTCGTAAATCACACTTATCAGATTTTGTATTCGTATCCTATTGTTGAAGTTACGCAATGTGAAATATGTAACCGGTAAAATCTCAAATATAATGCGCATTATGAGTCATATTAAGAACATTTTAAGTATTGTTGAATTTTTTGGTAATTTTAAACCAAATCTGTAGAAAAAAAATGGGTGCGTATTATATACGAATTTTTCATTTTGTATTAAAATAAATCAATTAGGAAACATTAATGAATTATTTTTTGTAAAAAATTTCAGAAAATTTATTAAAACAAATTTTGGGTGCGTATTATATAAGAATTTTTTATTTTATCGTGGTAAATCAAACATTCGCTTTGTAAAGGGTGTCCCAAAATTTACACAAGATTTGAAATTGCCGCCATTTGTGAAGACAATAATTTCAAATAATTTATTAAAACAAAATTTGGGTGCGTATTATACACGAATTTTCGGTTTGTATTAATCTAAATAAATAAAATCGATTAGGAAACATTTATTAAATAAATATTTGCAAACATGGCTTGATTTTGTAATAAATTTCAAATAATTTATTAAAAATAATTTATTTATTGTAATAAATTTCAAATAATTTATTAAAACAAAATGTAGGTGCGTATTAAATACGAATTTTCATTTTATTGCGTTAAATCATGCATTCGCTTTATATTATTAATAAAGTCGATTAGGAAACATTAATTAATTACTTAAATAAATATTTGCAAACAACGATTCTTTTTTATAATAAATTTCAAATAATTTATTATAACTAAATTTGGGTGCGTATTATATACGAATTTTTTTTATCGTGTTAAATCAAGCATTCGCTTTGTATTAATCTAAATAAACAAAATCAATTAGGAAACATTTATTAAATAAATATTTGCAAAAAACAACAATTATTTTTTTAATAAATTTTAAATTAATTTCAAATAATTTGCATAAAATAATACTTGTATCAGTGTTGCGATTTCGAAATTACGTGGGTGAATAAAAACGAGCGTTTGTCAACAAACAAAAGTGGAAGAAAAATAAGGACGTAAAAATATATAATAATGCAAACGTTTTTAATGAAATATTCATAGATCTGATATGAAAGTTGCGAAAAAATTATTTTTTATTTACATATTTATACCAAAATATAAAATAACGAACAAAACAAAACAAGGACGTAACAAATTTATCGTTTTCAATTTTTTTTTCTTTATAAATCAATACTCGAAATAGTAATCCGATTCAATTATTTTACATTCGTTATTTCATTATAACAACAACAAAAAATGATTGTTTTCAATGATTGAGGATTATTGAAAATTTGTTAATAAAAATAATCGGATTATCGTAATGAAATTGGAAAACATTATTTGTAATAACGAAAAAGAAAAACACATTTATTCTAGTTGTTTCTCTTTTTTTGTTGCTGTTGTTGCAATTAGGACACGCGAGAATTCTAACTGTTTTTTATTTTTTTAATGAATTTAATTGTTATTATTCGTGTCAATTGTTATTTTGGGAATATCGAACACGACAGAAAAAAAAATGTGTGTCAGTGGTGCAATTAACTTGGAGAGTCACAAAAACAATTATTGTATATTGTATATATAAAAAAAAAACTAATAATGAACCAAGTGCAAGAGAAATATGCTACACCAAGGACGAAATTAATAATTGTTTTTTTTTTTGCAGCACAATTATTGCTTCTTTTCGAACAAATTATTATCTGCGGTTAATTAATTGAATTTAATTAACCGCAGTCAGAGACGAAATTCGTTTATAAATTACGAAAAAAAAATTGAAAATCATCATTGTGCCATTTTTTCAATTTAATTTCTATATTTAAAAAAAAAATAAAATTTTATCATAATCATTACATAACATTTTTCATTATAATATGTAAGTTCTATCAACTTGTTCTGTGGTATCATGTACTGTTCTTTAATTTTCTATTTTGTCAGATTTGTTAAGTTTACTAAGTAATAAAGCTATGTTTTTTTTCAATTTTATAAATTTAACGTTTAAAATGCAATAATAATCATTACACAAAATTGTTCAATTTAAATGTAAACTTTATTAACAGTTTTTTAAAGAGTAAATCTACGTTTTTTTTTCAAATCTATAAAGTTAACGTTGAAAAATTCAATAATAGTCATTACCAATGAATAAATCTACGTTTTTTTCTTTTAATTAGATCATTTTATCGTTAGAAATAGAATCATAATCATTATATAAAATTGTTGATTTAAAATGTAAACTTTATCAACAGTTTAGTTAAGTTTACTAAATAATAAGTTTATTTTTTTTTCCTTTCAATTAGATACTTTTATTAGAAATACAATAATAATCATTACATAAAATTGTTCATTTAAAATGTAAACTTTATCAACAGTTTTGTTAAGTTTACTAACTAATAAATCTACGTTTTTTTTACATTACATAAAATTATTCAATTCAAATGTAAACTTTATCAACAGTTTTGTTAAATTTACTAAAAATAATTCTTAGGTATGGACAAATCATGTCTTGTATTTTCATTAAATTCATTTTCATTTTCTTAAATTTTTGGAAATACTATTAAATTTTTGAATATTTTAAATTTAAACTTTATCCACAGTTTTATTAAATTTTCTAAGGATAATTCTTAGATATAAACAAATAATTTTATCATTAGAAATACTACTAAATCTTTGCAAATATTCATTTTCAACATTATCCACAGTTTTATTAAATTTTTCTAAGGATAATTCTTAGATATGGATTTTTTTCTAACTGCATCACTATTATAAAATTTTACATACTTCTCAAAATATACATCAAACAGTCCGGGATCTGTTTGAAACCGGACTAATCAAGAATTTTAAACTACATAAAGATAATGAATAAAGCAAATTAAAATTTATGTGAAATTATATGAAATTTAGTTTATTTTGGAAGTTTTAAACCAGAATCAATCAGAACTGACCGTATTATATAAAATATAATCATCAATGAAGTGAAATACCAAATACTTCTGAAAATAATAAATTTGTAAATTTTGAAAAAAGTATTACACATAATAAGATGATGAAACAAAAATCTTTTAACATAACAATCTTGATCTTGGAATGCTACACAAGCTTTCTAATAAATCTCATTCAGAGCAATACCATTTGTTATTGTTTTCTGAATTATGCTTTGATTCGATTGTTATGTGTCCCTCCTAGAAAGTTCTCTAAAGACATCAAAACAGTTCGCATTCCAATTAACTTGCAAAACCATGTCTAAACCCAATATCACATACAATTCCAATTAGATTTTATCGGTCCGTTGATGGCAGACAGGAGACGCCGATAACGTAACGTCTCCACACCATAGAATTATCAACAACAACAACAACAACAAAAATATTTCAAAAACACAATTTGCTATACAGTTAAATTATGTAAATCTTCAAAGCCAAAATAAAAAGGTGAGCACACACGTGCGCTTCTATAATCACTCGCTCCACTATCCTAATAACATCCAAATCGGATTCTCTGGTCCTGCATGTCCATAGGAATCTCATTAGAATCTAAGTGGAATACATATATGGATGGATGAACAGAGATGCAACAAAAACGTAAAGAATGATGAAGACAGAGACAGAGAGAGAAAGACAGAAAAAAACACGAGTGTTTTCATTTACTTTAGTAGGTCACACGTAGCAGAAAATAAGAAAGTTTATATTTTATATGGAAACACACGGTTCGCTTTAGCCTCAAAATATAATCCGGATAATCATAATAATATAATGTGAGAAAGAGAGAGAGAGAGAGATAAAAATTTGTTGTCGATTATCATCATCGTTCACCTTGAGGAAAAGTGCATCGTGCGATAATAAACGAACACACACAGTTTGTTGACATCTGTTTGATAACAACATTTTTATTTTGGCACTAATTCCTTCTGCATTTTATTGAATTTTTTTATTTTTTTTTTTGAGAGAGGGGAATTCGAATGGGAAAGCGCGCGTCGATTCTACTAGACGCTTGGCGAGACCCTAATGGTTTAGGTGGCCGCAGTCAAGTTCAGAGAAACCTATACATGATGATGATAATAATGTTCTTTTCGTTGATAATAATAAAAGTCTTTGAAGAAATGGTTATTCATTAAAAATAAAGTGAAGTAAAGCCATGACCCAGATTATTTCCCGATGCACAGGATGGTCTTATTCTGCTTACAATTTGGATTAGTTGCTAAGCTAGTAGTACTAACGAATTAATATCTATATTATATAATCTTCATTATATTATTAAATATGTATGTAAATATTCACCTTTGTCGTGATTTAGAGATAATCCATTAAGAGTTATATAGTATTTGTGAGGTGAGGACACAAGAAAGCACACAATTTTTCGGATAAAATAAACACACACAAACACATCAACTTTTCGTTTTTATTTTATTTTAATTTATTTTTTTTTAATTCTCGTGAGCCTGTTTCAAATAGGATCCGGTCTATTGCAGTTCCTGTTTTCTTATGCGTGCATGCATATGTATATATATGAAATATTTATATAATAATATTATTTATTTTTTTTTAGTGTATAGTGTACAGGGACGCACGATAAACCCGTACATAAGAACGGTACACGACGCACTGAGATATTTCACTAAGTTTTCGAACGTTCCATGGCGCACTAAGTTAGCGCAACATGAAATGGTGGACACCGGGACTTGCGCACATTTTCTGTATACTAGCCGCATGTAAACATATGCATTTTCTGTTCATGGCCGTGGAATCTTTATATACCACACACACACACATATATTTGTATACAAGCACGCACTCAAACATATACACACACACGCAACGTAGATATGTACATGCGGTCTATGTACTTATTAAGGCGTATGACTCAATGGTACATTGTACCCATCCAAATACTATACCACAACTTAGTTGCTCATAGGTGAGGAAGAAACTGTTTAAACACAAACTAGAATATCTTTGTTATACAATACTAATTAAATAGAAAAAAAAACATTATATAATATATATACTTATTAAAGTCAACTATCCAATACTAAATACTATAGCATACCTCAGTTCTCAATAAATGAAGACACAAACTACTATATCTTTAGTATACAATGTTAATAAAACAGAAAAAAACCTTATATAATATAAATATACTTAATAAGGTCAATAATCCTATACTAAATACTATAGCATAACTCAGTTGTCCATAAATGAAAACACAAACTACTATATGTTTAGTATACAATGTTAATAAAACAGAAAAAACCTTATATAATATAAATATACTTATTAAGGTCAATTATCCTATACTAAATACTATAGTACAAATCAGTTGTCCATAAATGAAGACATAAACTACTATATCTTTAGTATACAATGTTAATAAAATAGAAAAGATGTTATATAATATAAATATACATATTAAGGTCAAGTATCCTATACTAAATACTATAGCATAACTCAGTTGTCCATAAATGAAGACACAAACTACTATATCTTTAGTATACAATGTTAATAAAACAGAAAAACCTTATATAATATAAATATACTTATTAAGGTCAATTATCCTATACTAAATACTATAGTACAAATCAGTTGTCCATAAATAAAGACATAAACTACTATATCTTTAGAATACAATTTTAATAAAATAGAAAAAAAAAATATATAATGTAAATATACTTATTTAGGTCAACTATCCTATACTAAATACTATAGCATAAATCAGTTGTCCATAAGTGAAGACACAAACTACTATATCTTTAGTATACAATGTTAATTTAATAGACAAAACCTTATACAGTGGTGCCTCGCATAACGAACGCCTCGCACAGCGAACGC